GTGAGGCACGGTGACTCCCGCACCGTGGCGGCGGAGCTCAGCAGGGCTGCGAGGATCAGGGTCATGCTGAGGCAGATCCCGAAGTAGAAAGCTGGAAGGAAGGCAGACACGGGAGCTGCGGTCAGACACCAAGACGTTAGGGCTAACAGAGGCCTGGTCTGATGCTTTCACTCAAAGAGGGACCAAAAAGTGCATTTTGGGGAGCCGGTCCAAGAGGACCAGGCTGCAGAACTGAAATTGTTTCATAATTTATTCAATACCCCTCATCTGTGTATGCTTGTCTGGCAGGGCTGTAAACCTCTGAGCGGTTCCCACAGCTCCAGCAGAGCAAAGCACCCGGAAAGCGTGTCAGTCCACCCAACAGACCGCAAGCTGTCAATTATTACAGCACTCTGATAAGGATCTCCCCAAACGGGGGATGCAGATGCGCAGGCAGCGGCTGTCCTGCGCCCGATCAGGACATGGTGCGCTGCTAATCTGGTGTAACACCCGCCCGCTGGTTTCCTCCTGGCTAAGGCAGGGTCACAGCTGGTACCCCGGGGCAGGGCTCAGGGACCACAGCGCTGTGAAGGGCTTTCCAACCCGCACTCGGGCCTAGAGGTGCAAAGAGTTAATGCTTGCAAGCAAAGCAAGTGGAAGCATTGCTGGAGAGGGGTGGCGGGGAAGGGAGAGCCTCCAAGGTTCCAGCCTGTCTAACCCCTGGTGTCTGTAGGAAAGGGGGAGGGCTGTACCTTAGCTTTGGACTAACATAGTTCCTTAGCTTTGGACTAACATAGTTTTACACATGTTAAACTGAAATTGAGATCCAGGATCTAAAGAGCATACGAGCATGTTTAAGCTCAGACAGAGTATAGCTCTGAAGGAGCAGCACATGTGGGTGCAGCAGAGAGCAGAGTACTTTAGTATCTGGGCTGTTTTCATCTCTTTGCTCTAGCCTTGTATCTGAGACTTGGTTTATATTTCTCCCAACCACATTTCCTTCCCAAACAGGTGTTTCCATGCATTTCTCCTCCCAGCCTCAATTTTCTATGCTCTGCTTCAACTCCTGGAACAGTCCCTCTCCCCACGCCCCCAGGGCCCTCCCAGCCCCACTGCACCTTTAGGTCGGTCGGTGGCTGAGCTCCCCCAGAGCTTTCAGCACAGCACAGGGGAAGGATGGGGAGACGGTGAATAGCAGGGCAGGAGCGAATGCAGCAGCACCTGAGCACCCTGTGCTCCCACAGCACCCCTTGGTGCCAGGCATGCGAAGCCAATACAGAAAGAAAGTGCCTGTGGGGCTGTGTTAATCCTAATGCATCCTCCAAAAGCCAGCCCCTGCCTCCTCCTGCAATACCTCAGCATTTCCTTCATTTGCTTTAGGGGATTTTGCAGCTCCTGCACTCATCAAAGGTTTCACTGGGGTGCAACCCCGACGTACCTGCGTGGTGGATGACCCTGTAGGAGTTGCTCTCCAGGGAGATGTTGCTGATGAGGGTGAAATGGAGCCCGTAGTGGGTGACTGTGCTCAGTGTGGCAATGGACAACCCCAGCAGCTGGAAGAGAAGGATTTTAGGAAGGGATTAACAAGGCAGAAGCTCCTGCTGAGGGCACGCTAAGCTTAGAGGTGTATACTCCAGAGCCCCACGCAGATGCAGACAGCCTGATCCAAAGACCGCTGCGTGTACTCCAAAATGCACGTAGAAGGACAAACCCCAGACACTTTCACATACTAAAGCTCTTTTTCTCTCTTGCATAATGAGTGCACATGATGCCGCGCAGCCTACAGTCTCTTGGCCAGTGTCCATGGATGAAATTCCCAGCACGTAAAGAAAACCCAGAGGATCGATGCTCTCGCAGCACACCCGTGCGGTCCCACCCTGCTCCGCAGAGTACGCACATGCAGTTGTGAGGGCTGCTAGCTTCAGTAGTGGTTTCAGGCAGGGATGATGTTCTCTGCTTTGCTCTTTGCAATGCTAGTCCCATTGCCTGATGCTGGCTATATTTTTTACTGTAGAGTGCAAAGAGTTGAGTCTTGTGCTATTCTTAAGTAACCTGTGCTGGTTTCTGTCTCTGCGACATGTTGCTGGGCCATTCATGTTTCTGTCCCATCTCTGAGAGTGTTGGTATGCCCAGGGCATGGGGTGATGGCCAGCACGTTACCCTCCATGTTGCCCAGAGCAAGTCCAGGCAACGGAGAGGGAACATCTGTGGTGCCACCTGGTCCTAGGGCAGGGCTCCTCGCAGCACGGCTGGTGGCAGAGCTGGGATGGAGGCATGGGCAGCAGGATGGTTAAAAAGAGCTCCAGCTCTAGTGTAATGAACCTGGGAAGTACAAGATGTGAGGCCACTCCGAGATCCTAAAATAAAGCTTCATCATTTTGTGCCTTTATGATACAGAAACACAAGGCTATCCCTGTGTTATCCCTGAGTTATCCCTGTGTCAAACGTGACAGTCTGGTGTCAATCCCCACTGTATGTCATTTTCTAATACATTTTCCTGGAGACTTACACTTTCAGAAGCTCAATACATCCAAACCATAGCATTTTCTCCTTATAAGTAACTCAATTTGTGGCACCTACTGATCCTTCATGCTGTGCATTACTGCCTGTCTTGACCCACGCCCAGCAAAATGCTAAGTGCATCATTGTTTCTGAGAAACGCCAGTCTCAAATCCTCCCAACAGCAGTAACATGATTTTAGCCATCCACAGCAGCTGTGCCTTAGCATCTCTAAACATGCTTGGCACCAGTCCTCCTTTGACTTCCTCCAAATGTCATATCTTGTTTGGAAGAGTACAGCCACTACAGACAACGGTCTTGAAATGTTGAATTTTGGACAAACTATAAATTTCATGTGTGGCCCCAAATAAGGTACTGCCTTTTAATTACACTCTTTCCAAGCCACCAACCCTCTTTGAACTAAACACAGGTTATTATTATTTTTTTAAGCTTGCAAGTTTTGATGAAGTGAAAAGGCAACAAGCACACAGAACTCAAAACCACCCAGAAGTGTTCCCCAGTTTCCACCATCTCCCATCAGCTTTAACAGAAAGTGTCAAGAAGTTCCCCTTGAATTTGCTTTAAAAGCTGATAAAAAGGATCCCTAGAATTTCTTTTGCTTTGCGGTGCGGATCCGCAGGTCTCTCACACACACTTCCAGCAGAGCCTTGCGGTTTCATAACCTCACTGATCCCGCTGCAGCCAACCACCCTCCCAGCAACAAGGGTGACTGCAGAACATCCATTCTCCCTCTTGCTCCGAGGAGACAGGAGCAAATATCTTTTTGCTGAAAACCACCCATTCTGCTGGCAGCGACCTTTCCTTTCTCCTTCGAGGCAGCCGCTGGGTTGTGAAAGAGCTGCAGTGGCGTGACAGCCCTGAGAAACCAGAAGTCTATCAGCAGAGGGGGGGGCGATGCTGGTGGCCAGTGATAACCGCCCAGCGTGCAACGATAACTCGGGCAGTTGGCTTTGCTTGTCCTCCACCCGCAAAAAACAGATCGTGGGAAAACCCGACCCTCTCTGAGTGGGAACAGGGAAGGCAACAGTTCACCTCGATTCTGCAGAGATCCCCCCAAACCTGCCTGCTCACCATGACACAGAGGCTGGTCACCATCAGCTGGCACTTGGTGGTCCTCATCCCGCACCTTGGTCCCATGGTTCCTTGTCCCCAGAGAGAGCTGGCAGTTGGTCCCCCCAGCTCTTGATAAAGCCTGGGTTTCCACCAAAGGGAGGCATGGCCACAGCGGGGCCTCTCGGGAAGTGTAGTCCCCACCACGTGTTGATGCACCTCCTCCTGCCTGATTATCAAATCCTGTTTAAAGCAGCCGCCTTCTGCCCAGGCTCTCAGTGGGCTGCTATCAGCTCCAACACACAGCCAGCGGGGAAAGGAGGAAAGTCATACAGAAAAACAGCGTTTCACAGAGTTCGGAGCAAAGCTCCTTGAAAAAAAATTTTTGAAACTGTTCAATCAAGTTTCAGTATCAAAATACCCTGTTTTTCACTTGACTTCCCTGCGTCACTTACAGGGATGCAGTTTTGCTTAATGAACATTGTCACTAACTATTTTAGATCTTCATAAATAGTATCTTGGGAAAAAAAATGAGGAAAATGTTATTTAGGAAAAAATAACCAGTTGTTTAAAGAGGAGATCAAAACCCCCAAACAGATCTGCGCGAGTCTTCCAAGACACTATTAAAACTTATTTGCAGGCAAAGGGAAAAAAAATCCCTTTGGTAGTATTTTGTGCAGAAAAAATGGCTCTACATAAATATAACCCCCCTGCTTGGGAAACCCTCACTGTCCATGGACATTTTGACTCTGTCCTTTCTCCTCTCCTAGCACTGAAGACCCCATGGACCCACGGCTACAGAGAACTCAGGTGACTTCTGGTCTTCAAAACCAGCTGCCTGCTGGATGTGTGTTTCCCAAAAGTAAATACCAAAGAAGCCTCGAGAATGATAATTCCAAAGGGAGACTGAGTGCCTTAGTCGTCCTTAGTTTCGGAGCTAGACTGGTGGAAAAGAGGTGAAACGGACTAACAGAAAATAGTTGCACTCCCCCCAGGTGGCAAAGAACGGGGGGAAAAAGGTAAAACCCTCCCACATCAGTAAATGTAGCTACAGGAAAATGACAAAGAAGAAAGATGAGGAGAGTGAAAAAAGCAAGGAAGATGCATTTTGTAGAGCAAAGAGAAGCAAGAGAAAGTGAGTTGCATAAAGCCATGTCCACAGGAAAAAGCATGTCATGATCTTCTGACTACATCACTAGCTTTCTTGCAAGTTTTATTGCAAAACATCTTGGTTGCAACCTCCTGAGATACCAAGGAGAGCTGCCACAGCTGTTTCCAAACACATTCCCCATGAGTCGTGGGTCCCTGCTGTGGGGGTGTCCCTGGATGCCCAGCAGGAGACACTGATGTACCTATGTGCACAGAGAGACCTTCTTACCCCAGCCAACAGCCTGAAACCACCTGAGAAAGGCCAACAGATGGGCAGCAGGGCAGGGAGCAGTGGGGAGAGCACTACGGAGAGAGGGCAACTGGCTGGGGATGCAGCTGATGCCCAGCCACACCGGTCTGGGAGCAGGGACCAGATGCCATCCACAGCAGTGCAGACCCCCAGGGACAGAAGTACAGCTGCAAGGTGAGCAGCTGGATTTAGACTGGATATTAGGAAGTATTTCTTTCCAGAGCGGGTTGTTAGGTGTTGGAATGGGCTGCCCAGGGCAGGGGGGGAGGCCCCTTCCCTGGAGGGGTTGAAGAGTCGGGTTGACCCAGCGCTGGGGGATCTGGTGGAATTGGGAATGGTCAGTGTGAGGTTCATGGTTGGGCTGGGTGATCTTCAAGGGCTTCTCCAACTGAGATGATTCTGTGATATCCACATGGTCCCCATGATGGGCCAGGTGGGGAAGGTGCCTTATGAAAAGCTCTGGTGGAGCTAGGGCTGCATCCAAAGGCAGAGCTGATAGCAGCCGTCATTTCTTCTGGCGCTGCGGGACGCAGACAGTTGGGTTGTCACCTGCATTTTCAGGGGGACTGACCACCAAAGGGGCACGGGTACAGAGGCAGCAGGGTTGGTCCACAGGTAGAGCTACAGGTTAAATCTGGAAGGGTTGCAAGAAGATTTGAAGCACAGCTCCGGGTCTAAGCCCAGCTCTGGGTCTAACACTGGGGACAGAAGCCCGACCAAGAGCGAGGGCGGGTTAGGAGCGAGGGCGCAGCCGTGGTCACCCCCCGTTTCACAGCCGGGGAAGTGAGCAAACCCATGCAGCCCGTCATTTCCCCCCAGACCCGTCTCCTTCCCAACCCTAAAGGCACACTACCCGAGACCTGTGCCAAGCCACATCTCACACTAGAGGTCCCCACAGGCCAGCAGAAGCCCTTCCCGAAGGCCCGAGCGATTTCTGACGGGAATAGATGGGCGGTTCCCTTCCCAGTTCCCCAAAGGTCTCCGTGCAGGAGCCTCGCACCTCACTGCAGGATCACCTGAGACGTCACAAAATCATCGTCGACACCCTTGGAAGGGCTCCTAGTCGCTTCACAAAAGATGCTCTACCTCCTTTTGTCCCCAGCCATGAAAACAGGCACCTTCAGTGCCTCACCAAGACTCTTAAAGCAGATCTGCAACTTTAAAAACCTGCGTTTAAACAGATGTTTCCTCTGGTTTGGTTGCAGATGCCTGTTCCTGGGTAGTTTGACCATGTCCTCTGATGCTTCGGATGCTTCTCCCACCTCCAGTGCTCGGCGCTCTGCCTTCGTGCCTGCTCCCTCGGGAACCTGCTCCGGTGCCGTGCTGGATTTGGGGGGAGAGGCATTTTCTGCCGTTTCTCTTTCCTTTGTCTTACACTTTACCCCATATAGGTATGGCTTGAAAGATTTCTCTTTGGGGCAGAACATACATGAACTTCTCACATCAAATAATAATAGAGCAAAAGAAGTTTCTCCCTCTGCCCAAAAGCAAGTCGATAGTAGGAGCATTAGTAGATGTGGGGCGTTAAGAGGTTGGGCTCTGACTGAGGGAGGCACATTCAGCACATGCACTGCCAAAGCGAGCGCGGGGGGAGCATGCACGCTCATTGTAACTGTGGCCACTGAAAGGGGCTCTTTACAAAACCTCCCTTTCTCTGGGATTAAAATTCCTCTGGGTGCCGTGTCACGGGCACACGCTGGCCTCAGCAGCCCAGGGAGCCCTGGCCAGAAGCAGGGTGTCCCCCCAGCCCCAGCCCAGCGGGAAGAGAGGCAGGGCTGGAGGCACACCGGGGAGCCGTCCTCGCAGCTGGGGCACGGGCTGGATGGCAGCGTGGCTTTTCCAGCAAGACTCGGCCTCCTGCCCGCCCTGCTGGGTGTTAGCAGTTGGTCCCCTTTGCAAGAGCACAACCACAGGTGACCACAGCTCCCACCGGTGGCTTTGTCCCTTATCTCTGCTTATCAGCTGGAGTGTGAAAAGAAGGTAGAGAGGCTGAAAATACCCGGGAGAGCCCAGGTGCCCTCTTCCTCTAGCCTGGGGGCAGCTTCTTTTAGGCTGTAAAAATACACTCCGGCATCCCCAGCTGCACGGGAGGTCGGAAGGACGTGCCACCTCGTCCAGAAGGAAAGGATTGATTTAAAAAAGGGAAGAAAGCCAGATCACATTTTTTGTAGAGCTAAAAACCTCCAACCCTCTTCCGAGCCGGAGGGAAACGCTGCCCACACTGTCAGATAGATGTCCTAAGAGAGCTGAGGGATCTGATGTGTTCATGCTGCACTGGGTGAACTAGGAAGACTAAACATAAATGGAGAAGAGCCTGAATTCATGCTCGTGCCTTCTCACCATCCACTTTTCTGTCTCTCGCCCCATTGGCGCAGTCACAAGTGATGCAACAGCAGCACCCCAGCCCCAGCTGCTTGAACTCCAGCCGGGCAGCAGGTAAGAAAAGCCTCCCCCTTGGCTTTGGGGTGCTGCTACTTGTGCTCCTGCAACAGGATGGGCTGGGGGCTGGGGAGAGGAGGTTGCCCCAGGAAGCAAAACTACACCCATGGTCCAGGCAGGACACATCCGTGCCAGGCCCCTGCTGCCTCTGGGGAGCTCCTTCGCCTGCCAGCACCACCATTAGGGAAAATAACTCTCCTCCAGGGAGGAAAGGAGCTCTAAACATGGCAGATTCACAAGTGTCACCGGCTCAGCCCATTCGGTCCCTCAGCTCCTGCCCGTAACACAGTTATATTCACCCCGGAGCTTGCTTGTAAATAAAACATGCCCACATCAAACCGCACCGAGGCCGTATGAATGAGGGGAAGCCAGAGAGACCCCACAGCCCGCGACTGCCTTCCTGGGCGCATCACAAGGATGCATTGTAAAGGCTGCTTAGCATTCATATAGCACATACACACAATCAAAGCTAAAAATCAACTTTTAAACCCGGGGCTGCTTCTTTTCAAGAAAGGAAGGAGAGAAGAAAAGGGGGAGGTGCTGGGCTTTGCCAAGCTTCAGATGCACCATACAACTCCGCTCTGAATGGAAACAAGGCTGGCCAGAGGCTGCCTTGGAAGAAACAAAACCGGAGAGAAATCATAAAATCTCCAAAAGACTTTTTTATTTATTATTATTTCCAAAGCGTGTCTCAGAAATCCTTCAGTGATTCCCAGGCATTTTGAAATTAATTATAGATGAGCAAAAAAAAAATGTCAGAAGAATTGAAGAGTTATTAAAAAAAAAAAGTTCATCAAGCGCAAGGAAAGATTACATTTGAAAAGAGCATAAGCTGAAGACAGGGAGTCCCCTTCAAAGCATGAACTCAATTAAGCTTCTTTTCCCCCCAGAAGTGAAGCAACTGCACTCATAGCTCTAAAGCACACCTCCCTACTTATTTTTTTTTCTTTTCCACATGGTATCTAAATGATAATTGCCCAGGAGCCAGCTGTGCAAGTGATAGACCTGAAGACACAACTCTAGCCCTGCTCCTGGCAAAACCAGTGTGAGCAGAGCCCAGCCTAGCAAACAGGGATTCACCTGCTCACCGAGAACGGGACTCCTCGACAGCCCATCGCCATTTATTTCTGACATTCACCCTCTCGAGCCTTATTGCAATGGGACCTCTATTGCTTTCCACTGAGGTCCAGAAAGTTTTGACCAAATAAAATTAAAAAGCTCATGTCAGCTGCCCGTAACACCTGGGTCACGGCGGGACT